GAAGCCTTGCTCCGAGAAATGTTGCCTGCATTTGTTGCCACCCAGCTTATCAACGGCAAAACAGTGGATGCTTGTAAGTGCGCTATTTATTACTCTTGAAACTTGTCAACTTTCACAAAAATCGCTCAAATTTCCAAAGGAAACAAAGATTCTGTTGTGGTGAATCCAGATGTCGAGCTTAATTAATTTGAGGTAATATGCTCTAGCATAAACTCATCCCGTCCCTCGCTTGCCTCCTTTAGCCACCGACGAAGCAGAAAGACTCCGGAGAACGGCGGAAAGACTCTGGAATACGATCCTGGAAATTGAAGCTGCGCCTCAACATGTAGGATTGAAGCTGCGCCTCTAGCACAGCTACGCCTCAACATGTAGGATCATTCCAGTAACATCATTAGCATGGTATAATTTTAGTCAACTCCCCAGAAAAACACATGATTTAAAACACCTAAAAAATCTGCTCGAATTTAGGTGAATATAGCGAAGCAACAGTAATGTTCAGTGATGTCCCAGACTTTCAAAAAATTGTTCTTTACTGCAAGCCACGGCAGATTGTGACACTGCTCAATGAACTGTTCACGAAATTGGACCGTTTGGTCACCAGACACCATGTAAATATTATCACTTTGATTTGATACAGTTTCTTTGCGTTGACATTTTAAAATATTGCTGTCAAAAAGATGCATCCCATCCATGCTTGTTTGCAGAAAGAATTAAAAAGAAGCGCCAAAAATGATAAGTGATAACAACGAAAATGTTAAAATGATAAAAAATTTTGTAGAAAAAAATAAAAGAAAAACTATTGCGGAAAAAATATCCGTCTGGCTTGATACTTCGTTAATAAGGCGCAATTTTTATTATGAATTCCTAAGCAATCAAGTTGGATAGAGCATCACCGGGGGCTATCAGTGTGGATATCCCACGTTAGCGACGTTACTGAAATGCTCCAGACGCAAGGTACAACAGCTTTAAAATGAAAATTTTCACCGTGTTGCTAGTCTTTCCAATGATTGTTGCACCCGTACAATTCAGCAGTAGCTTCACGCATCCCTTACCATTCATACGGGATATAAATTCATCCCGGATGCTATGATTTTTATCATGAAATAACTGTTGAAAATTCTGCTGAAAATCCTCGCCAAGCCTGGGATTAAAAATCAAATGCTGAAATCATTTTATATCTAAAAAAGGCTATTAGTTCGCTGCTGGCTCAATGAGGGCTTAGCTGAAAACCAGGCCATTTTCCCTTTTTTCATTGGTATTTTGAACAATGCTACGATTAAAACAACAAAATGTGAAAAATTCGCTAATTTTCAATCTAAATGTTCACAGCTTTTAGGTAAAATCCTATTTCCTATTAGTACTTTCATAGCAACTACAAGTAAAAGATTCCGCTGAACTATCCATACAAGTTCTTCAGGCTTAGCTATGATTTCAGGTTTACAAAGTGGAAACCATCGGTGACAGTTATATGACAGTTGGTGGTGTGCCAGAGCATACCGAGGACCACTGTGAAGTGTTGTGCCATTTAGCACTGGGAATGCTTTTCGAAGCACGATCCGTTACGGATCCAGTAACTAGAAAACCATTGCAAATACGGCTGGGCATCAATTCTGGACCTATTGTAGCTGGTGTAATCGGCAAGAAAATGCCAAGGTACTGATAAAAATTTAAATTCATTCTCCTTATCTAAAAAAA